AGAGATATACAGACGAGTTAGATCGAGTGTGCAGAGGGTAAAGGGGGTTTGGTGAAGGGGTTATATTATATTTAATTCTTTGCAAATTTTATCATATTCAATCTGATGAATGAAAACCAGCAAACGCAATTACCTTTTCTTAAAATCTGAGTTTACAATGCCGGCCGAGCAGCAGGGTTCAATGCCAGTATATTTTAGAATAATTTGTACAATCTTTTGTGATTTTTCGTAATTGTTAAATTTTCTCTTTTTATGGTAAAATATTTATAACAAAATTTATCCCACATTTTTTTTCATTTCAGGTCGACATTTGATGAAAACAACACACTACGAGGCAATCATAATCTAGCTGGTATAATATTGTAAAATCAATAGTAACAATAAAGGAATTGAGTCATTGCCACAAACTCTGATTTTTAAATCCCTTTATCTGTACAACCCAATGTTATAGACCCTAGATATTTCAAACTATGAATTCTGATGGATCAAATAATTAATTTTTTGAAATATCAAAAGTTTACGCCACTGGTTTTAGAGATGTAGGTATTAGAAAATTAGGATTTGTGGCAAAGACTCAATTTCTATGGTGCAGAAAATGGTTCATGGGAAAACGACACTAAAGTGCTTAATATGAAAAAATAATGAAATTTGGCATTAGGTTATTGTGAATGTGAGCCTAAATTAAAAATCATTGTATTTAAAATATGCTTTTTTTAATAATTATCATTTCTTGTGCTATTAGTTGAAATATGAGTTTAGTAGTTTTGTTTGAAATAAGTCTTAAAAAATTATAAGAAAGACTTTTTCGGTGAGTGGCCGGCCTAGGTCACGTAAAACTATGTACAAGGATCACTGTGATCTTGCCAGACTACACTTGTTGCATGAAACGTGCTGGGTCGACTCTACACTGGGTAGCCTGACTGGACGGTATGACTGTATGCATATACAGTACGTGTTATACCGGCACGAATCATGAAACTTTTAGACTGCACATGGGGATATATTGGAATGTTTTCAGTCATATTTTGATCTCATATTCAACATCAGTAAAAATGGCGCGAAAGACCTTATATACCAAAATATTTGTAGACGTCTAATTTACTGTGTGTTTATTTCTTTAGAACAATGTGTAGTCAACCCAGCACGTTTTAATCACACAATGTAGGTTGTGTAGTCAACCCAGCACGTTTAATGCACACAATGTAGGTTGTGCAGTCAACCCAGCACGTTTTATGCACACAATGTAGGTTGTGTATTCAACCCAGCACGTTTTATGCACATAATGTAGGCTGTGAAGTCAACCCAGTAAGCACTTTGCACACAATCTAGGCTGTATAGTCAACCAAGCACGTTTTCTGCACATAATAATGTAGGCTGTGACGTCAACCCAAGCACTTTTTAAGCACACAATGTAGGCTGTATAGTCAACCCTGCACTTTTTAAGCACACAATGTAGGCTGTGTAGTCAACCCTGCACTTTTTAAGCAACACAATGTAGGCTGCATAGTCAACCCAGCACTTTTTATGCACACAATGTAGGCCGGCCGGATCGATGTGACTGCAATCGTATAATCCTCCTTTGATGCAAATTGCAAATAACTTGTCAACTTTGGAAACCTCAAAAGTTAAACTCTGAAGGACCAAAAACTTGACCCAGAAAAGTCTCACCATACTAAGAATTTAATTTTTGATATTGCTTTTAACTTTGTGTCTGGCAAGAATTTTTCCATGCTTTTAATATCCCAGAAATTCTGTAATTTATGTGATTTAATTGAAATGGTTTAAACAGGGAGCTAATCTTATTTAGTTTTAAATTGAATTCCTGAATGTGTCTCCGTGACTCAACTCTAGGATAAGTTAGAGCTTACGGAGATGAAGGAGTAGGGACCATGCTCACTGAATCTTCAAGAACATTAGACTAAGTAAGAAAGAGGAAGGAAAAATTCGGAGGAGAAGAGAGTGTAGAAGGGAGGAGCAGGGAGGAGGCAGGAGAAGAAGGGAGGAGCAGGGAGGAGGGAGGAGGGGTGAACAGGGAGGAGAAAGGAGAAGAAGGGGGAACAGGTAGGAGAAGAGAGTATAGAAAGGAGGAACAGGGAGTAGGAGGGAGGAGAAGAAGGGGGGAACAGGTAGGAGGAGAGAGATAGAAAGGAGGAACAGGGAGTAGGAGGGAGGAAAAGAAGGGGGGAACAGGTAGGAGAAGATAGTATAGAAAGGAGGAACAGGGAGTAATAGGGAGGAGAAGAAGGGGGGAACAGGTAGGAGAAGATAGTATAGAAAGTAGGAACAGGGAGTAATAGGGAGGAGAAGAAGGGGGGAACAGGTAGGAGGAGAGAGGAGTGTGGAGGATTAGGAAGAAACTAAATGTCGTCTTTCAGAGAAAAACTTTTCTTATTTCAGCAAAATAAACAATTTAATATTTTTACTTTTATTTTCATTTTCTTTAATTTTGTATTAATTATAAACTCTGTCACAGTGAGTCCTAAGGCCTAGGACAGGAAATGAGTTTTTGTCACAAACTCTGATTTTCTAATCCAAATATCGTTCCAACCCATTGTTGTAGACAATTGTAGATATTTCAAACTATGAATTCTGTAATATCAAATAATCTAAGTTTGACATATCAAATATACCGCAAAAAAATGAGTTTGTGGCAAAGACTCAGTTCCTTTCTCAATAAATTAGTTGTTCACTGTTTATGGCATTCATTTATTTAATAACTGACTGAATTCCTTTCGAACCCACAGTAACATTTTGCCTAGTACAAGTTCGCCTAGTACACTTTCGCCTAGTACATGTTCGCCTACTAACATTTTGCCTAGATAAAATTTTGCCTAGATAACATTTTGCCTAGACACAGTTTTCCTAGACAACATTTCGCCTAGATAACATTTTGCCTAGATAACATTAAAAGGTAATTTTCGCCTAGATAAATTCACTAATTTTTTTTCAAAAATTTCTAAAGTTCCTTTTTTTCTCAAGAAATTCAATTAAAAGCAAAAAATTTATTATAGTAATGTTTACAAATTTTTTCTTAAAGGGCACTAGCTCGCTGGAGATCATGAGCCAGCATTTTCAGATAATCAGTTTTAGGCATTGTAGCAAAAGCTTCTACCCTCTGTTTTGCATCCTTGGCTCTCTGCTTTCTGCCTGTATTATCAGCCATATCCTCGCCAACTGAATTAGAAAGAAATGCTCGTCTTGCATCAGCATCTTGTTTGACAAACTGGTCCTGAATGTGCCAAACATTTGGACTGTACCCAGACAATAAATTCCAGGTACGATTAAAGGATTCCAGCATATGGTTTGTTTCCATTCCATCCTCTAAAACTGTGCTGTACTGGTTCCAAAGACAGGGCGGGAAAAGTGCTCTCCTCCCACCCTGTTTTTCAATCCAAGTATGTAAATAGTAGTACCCAAAACGATAATTGTGAAATTTTTACAGTAAAAATTGCGTATTTTTTTGTTCCAAAAACTGGTTAAGTATAATTTGAAGAATGTTAATCTAGGCGAAAATTACTCTCTAATTTGTTATCTAGGCGAAATGTTGTCTAGGCAAACTGTGTCTAGGCAAAATGTTGTCTAGGCAAAATGTTGTCTAGGCGAACTTGAACTAGGCGAACATGTACTAGGCGAAAGTGTACTAGGCGAACTTGTACTAGGCAAAATGTTACTGAGCCGTTACATACCCCTCCTAGCTTAAAAATAAAAATCGATGCTTGAAAACTATTTTTTGTCTTCTTAGATTTAATAAATACATTAGATGGAAAGATCACAGTGTTGCATAGGTAATATGTAAAATCAATCTTGCATATAAATGTAAATTGCAGCTTATTATTTATCATTCATCCCGTACACCATTCAGACAAATAGTATATAATTATGATATATATATAATTCCTTTATAATTCATTATATACTTCTAAACATTTCTGAATGAATGGTGTATGGATAGAATGATAAATAAAGTTGTTAAGCAACAAAATACATGTATGTCCCCCCCCCCTCCCTCAATAAACATCCCAGTGAGATGTACTTTTACTCTGATATGTTTGTTTATATTATCTTTCTACAAGTGAATTAATTTGAATAAAGTAACGACATTATAGTCGCGTCGGTTTATTTTTTCTTGAACGTGTTTTTGTATATAGTGAACTTGTTCTTTGATAAACGTGGAGTTTTTGTTGTGACACATTGCGTTTTTTGCACGTGGCGTTTTTGTGTTACATTTGGCCCATTATTTTTCACATTGCGTTTCTTGTTACACGTGGCGTTTTTTTACACATGGTTCAACCACTTCTGAGTGGAGTGGTTTATCTCAGGCGTAGTTCAACAACTTCTGAGTGAAGTGGTTTAACGAAGACGTAGTTCAACCACTACTGAGTATAGTGGTTTAACTAAGACGTAGTTCAACAAATTCTGTGTAAAGTGGTTTAACTAAGACGTAGTTCAACCGCTTCTGAGTGAAGTAGATTAACTAAGACGGAGTTTAACCACTTCTGAGTGAAGTTTAACTAAGTCTAAGTTCAATTACCTCTCGCTGTTTATTAAATCTGGTCTCTCTTGTCAGATAAAGTTTTTAAAATTGACGGAGATGTAAAGAAACTTTTCCGGATTCCACCTTTATTCAAGTCCTTTTTTCAGATACAAAGAAGTAAAACTTATTTTCTAAAGCTGTTTTTCCCATATTCACTAGAAACTGGAAATTTGAGGAAATCGAAGACGACTTTGATCTTGTAAAATATCAAATTATATTCTTGATCGCTCTTCTGACTTCTGACTTATAAATGTTTATTCAAAATACTGTGCATATAAAAACTAAAAAAACATACCATTTCAATAATTGTGTTTGTAAAATTTTTAAAATGCTACAAACTAAATAGTTATATGATACCCCGACCAAAACCAAATTTAACCACAAGAAAAGAAAGTGAATTTCAGAATTTTTTTTTCTTTTTTTTTCTTTTTGCACTTCAAATAATTTATCCGAAACTCACTGTAAATCAAATCAACACTAAATTTGTATTAAAAATGAAATAACTCAATAAATTTAGAATTAAAAGTTTAAATACCACAATAATTAAATCATTGATTATTAACACTAAATGCTCTTCGATGTAAAGGTAACATGTATAAAAGTCCCGTTATGTTTACATATACTCCAAATATAGAAGTTTAATTAATGAGTTATAAGAGATCATTTTGAGATTTTAAAATCTTTCAGAACCTTCTCCATTATATCCAGCATAATATTAGCATGGTTCGGAGTAAAGGTGAGAGACGGTCTGAACCTCACAGTTTTGTCTCCGCAACCTCCGAGATGAACTCCGTTCTGTCGGAGCTGAGTGAGGAACCTGTCTCTGGATACTTGGTTCGGAAGATCAACGGCACAGAATGTCCCTCTGCCCCTGGCTGCGGAGAGAAGAGCTGGATACTCGGTTTGGAATTGTTTGAGTCCTGTCATCATCACTGATCCGGATTGTCGAACCCTCTCAAGCAAATTGTCCTCAACAATAGTTTTTACAACCTGGAAATAAGCTTTGGGTTAATTAATTCCATTATATTTATCTCGATTTAAACGAAAAATACTATTTAAGACAGATTTAATCTAATACTATTTAGTGCTCAACAAGGGATAAATTCTTTTAAAATTAATAATTTTTATAGATCTTATTCTTATAAACATTATTATAGATTAATATAAAACTCTCTGACATTCTTAATAATTAATGTATGTATGTAATTAAAAGTTGTTTTTAATTATTGAATGTGTTATAAAATATTGAATTAAAACCGTTTCAAACTAGGGTTTCCCGAAAAACAATTAAAAACTATGAAATTTACAGTTTTTTTGGTGACAAATAATGTCCTTTGAACCCACATAAAAATAAACAAAGCTCAAAAATAATGTTATCTGTTATGTTTGCAGCTCAATGCCCTGAATAAATGATTGCAAAACTTTTAACGTCGTCTTCAATGTTTGGTGAATAATGATGAGATTTGTTGAAACCAAAATTTATGAATATTTACTGATATCGAAATAATACTGAAGACCTGTTCGAGAAGGATAATCTTGTGTGGATCACCGACCCAGGTATTAATAATCCGTCCTGGATGTGGCGGCCTGTGCTCCAGGTTATGGTAGATACCACCCGAAACCATTTTCTTTGAGAAACTCACAATATCAGGTTTAAGTCCAAAATGTTTGTGACACCACATCTCTCCGGTTGCTCCGCCTCCGGTCTGAACTTCATCCATCATCAGGGATATATCCCACTTCCTACAGATCTTCTCTAACCCTTGAAAGAATGCAGGACTGCCATGATTATCTCCTCCCTCGGCCTGGATGGGTTCAGAGATTACTCCAGCAACAGGACACGCATCCCTAGTCTAGAATAGAAAATATTCTGCTAATTTAAAAGAAATACAATTTTTAAACTTTAAACATTTTTTTGATATTTAGTAACCCCCTTCCCCCCCTTTCGAAAATGAGTAAAAACCCGTGGTTATCCTGTTCCAGGTTAAGTTAGGCTGGGTTAAGGTAAAAATACCTACGAGCTTTGCTCTTTTTCAAGGAGGGTTCGGGGAAGGGTCCAAGAACATTTAAGACGACATAAGGTTTTCATTTTTCATTTAAAACCATTTTTCAAATTTTTTATGAAATTCTTTACTCAAATCTTATTTTCTCAAATTAAATTAAAGCTGGAATCCTTGAAATGAATGGAATGAATTAAACTCATTCCCTCCTTGCCAGAAAACTATCTTTCATGAAACACTTTGTTCTATGAAAAATCAGTTAATCTAACACGAAGGAGAACCGACAAAGTTATTTTAACTCATTTCATCCATTAAAAAGTTGTTAGATCAGAAAAAATTACCGCCTTCTCCAGGAGTTCCTCAACCTTAGCCAGGCATCGTTCATCCTCTGCGCTATTCTCAGTCTGGTTCTCCTCCAGGGGATATTTATATACAGGGAAATCTGCTTTAGGCCAGGCCAAGGACGGAATATCTACCCCTTGGATCGGTCTAGAGTTGGAACAGCTGAGTAAACCAATGGATCTACCATGGAACCCACCTTTGAAGGATAGAATACTGAGGTTGGGAGAACCTGGAGCTTCATGCCTGAGAACTGAGCTGAGTTCGTGCTCAGAAAACTCAGTTCTTCCGTTTCTTTGTCGGTGCATGTATCTCATAAACATCAACTTTATCCCGTTCTCATTAGAGCAGGTTCCGCACATCATAGGATATACTTGGTTCAACCCTTCAGGAGCAATACAGAGCATAGAGTTCTTTATCCTGGCGGCCCAGTCCTTGGACGGAAACCAACCAAGGGCAGGACGGTTTGCCATTGCTCGGACATTACTTTCGTCTCGTAGTGCATTTAGTATTGCCGGGTGGTTGTAACCTGTAAATAGAAGTTTTGGAGGAAATGTTAAACATAATCAAAGTACAGGGAGTCCTATTAGGGAGTCCTATTAAATATGATTAGAATACAGGGAGTCCTATTAAATATGAGCAGAATACAGGGAGTCCTATTAAATATGAGCAGAATACAGGGAATCCTATTAAATATGACCAGAATACAGGGATTCCTATTAAATATGAGCAGAATACAGGGAATCCTATTTAATATGCTCAGTTAATACAGTGAGATTACATATGATCAGAATACAGAGAGCCCTATTTAATATAAACAGAATACAGGGAGTCCTATTAAATAAGATCAGAATACAGGGAGATCTATTTATTAAGATCAGAATACAGGTAGTCCTATTTAATATTAACAGAATACATTGAGTCCTATAAAATATGACCAGAATACAGAAAGCCCTATTAAATATGATTAGAATACAGAGAGCCCTATTTAATATTAACAGAATACAGGGAGTCCTATTAAATAAGATCAGAATACAGGAAGTTCTATTTATTAAGATCAGAATACAGGTAGTCCTATTTAATATTAACAGAATACAGTGAGTCCTATAAAATATGACCAGAATACAGGGAGTCCTATTAAATATGACCAGAATACAGGGAGTCCTATTAAATAAGATCAGAATACAGGGAGTCCTATTAAATATGATCAGAATACATGGAGTTCTATTTATAAATATCAGAATACAGGTAGTCCTATTTAATATTAACAGAATACAGTGAGTCCTATAAAATATGATCAGAATACATACAGAGTCCTATTAGATAAAATAAGAATACAGGGAGTCCTGTTAAATATGATCAGAATATATGGAGTCCTATTAAACATAATCAAACTCCAGGGAGTCCTGATTAAAATGATCAAAATACAGGAAGTGCTATTAAAAAGGAGAACTTAAAAAAAAACAATCTAGTTGACTTATTTAAACTCCTTAAATTATTTTGGTTAGACACTAGACATTACTTTTTTTGTTCTCCTCTTAGAAAGGTGCCAATAAATGACGCTCCCTGAAAATACAACTATCGAGGTCTGATAAAATAACTGTTTAAATGTCGTCTTCAAGAGACAGTTTTTAAATCCAAGAAACTGACTAATCCAATATTTACCGAGTGGGATGGATGCTATCTGCATAAAACAGTCCAGATATTTGTTCCCGTCAACATCCACGATATAGTTCCCCTCGGACTTGTCATAGTCCGCGAAGAACGACACCGTCGACATCTCCTGGAAGCTGACCAACTCATCTTTCAAGGCTAAAGATCTAGGACCTGAATAATTAAATGATTAAAGAATTGCGGATAAAACCTTTTTGTTGATCTAGCCGCAGTAAGAAGGGAGTTGACGTCAATAATTCGGCCCAATTCTGCCCCTTTAATTACTTTCTCCATAAATTCCTTTAAAAAGCTGCAACTTCAACAAATTTAAAAAATTCCCTTTTTCAATGAATTTCATCATTATAAGTTTTTTGATATCTGGTTTTCTTGTTCTTAAATAATCAAACTTGGATCTAAAACTCCTATCCAGTTATAGACGTATCTGGAACAGGAGAAACTATATCCATCCTGCTCCTAGTTATAGATGTACCTGGAACAGGAGAAACTATATCTATCCTGCTCCTAGTTATAGATGTACCTGGAACAGGAGAAACAATATCTATTCTGCTCGTAGTTATAGTGTACCTGGAACAGGAGAAACTATATCAATCCTGCTCCTAGTTATAGATGTACCTGGAACAGGAGAAACTATATCTATTCTGCTTCTAGTTATAATTTACCTTGAACAGGAGAAACTATATCTATCCTACTCCTAGTCATAGATGTATCTGGAACAGGAGAAACTATATCTATTCTACTCCTAGTCATATATGTATCTGGAACAGGAGAAACTATATCTATCCTGCTCCTAGTTATAGATTTACCTGGAACAGGAGAAACTATATCTATCCTGCTCCCTTCTCTCTCTTCTATCCTAGGTTGATGAACCTGACTCTTGACAACATTGCTGGAAATCCGTCTTGATTGATTCTTCGTGCAAGTTTCCCTTTAAATAGATTTAATAAATATCAAATTATAAGTTAAAGGAATTATCAACGTAGAATTGCCATAAATGATTCATATCGGTCCTTTTAAGCCTTGTTATAGAAATAAGGCTTACAAATTGATAAACAAGTATTTTAAACCATCATTCAGAGATCAAGAGTATACCTTTGTGAATCTTTTATTTTGTTGACAAATATGAAAAATGTTTTCATATTTAACAAAATCAAAGAACCCGATAATGTCTAGCATTTTCTTATTCATAATCGAACACGACATGTGTCAAAATGTGGAGAGTTAAAAATAATAAAAATGTTAGGTAAGAAAGCGTTTAATTAAAATGGATGAAAGATAAAAGGTAAATAGCAAAACAAGATAAAATGGTGGAGTTTTATAACTGACTTAAAAAAACTAATTATTTTGAACGTTTTCCTTGTTAAGAGGATTGGAACATCAGGTTTAACAACTGCAGTATACTTTAATATAATCACAGACATCATAGAAATAGAATATTCACTGACGGAGCTTTGTGTCAGAAAAGTTGTAAACGTAAACTTCCTTGATCAAAATTTATCTTAGCATTGGATCCAACGATCGGATAACAAAACAACTAAAAATTAATCTACAAAGTTGACAATTTGAGTTTGGGATTCGGTACGTTTTAAATCGAACGAAAAGTCAAAATGAAGAGTGTCAGCAATAAAATTAAATGAACTTTACAACAACACATTTGTTTACACAGTTTTCCCCCATGTAAACCTCATATGTATATATATATATCTTCTTAAAATAAGCCTAGAACATGTTCTATTTTTTAAAGATTGTTTATTGCTGGACACTGTGTTTCATATAATATATATTCATAGACACAGTGTTTCGTTCTATTAGGACTCATCAGTATTGATTTTGATTTACAAAACCAAATTACACCTAAAATCAATTTATATTTATAGAGTTCCATGTTTTATTCTGTGCAGGTAATCCTGATAAATTAATTTCCTTGAACCTGATTTCATAAACACTAAAACCAGATTGTGCAATGGGTGGAAAAAAGAGTTGGGTTTTCTTCTTGCAAATATAATATACATACACAATAACCAGTTTATGAAGTAGACAGGTTTGTGGAAAACAGAGATCTGAGCCCGAATTAAGATAGGGTATCGTTATGGAACCCAGTTTTGAAACCCGGGTTTCACGAATGGGGTTAGGCAGTATTTGGATATCAATATTTTTGTTATGAAATATTATTTTAATTAGTTTCCTCATACTCTCCATTTTTTAGAATCTCTTAAATCAAAATCTACACAAATGTTAAGACCCCAAAAAGGAAACTCGGAAATTTCGTTAAAAGATACTCTTTTAAATTTTGGGCTCTATGGTGGAAAGAAAAGATGAACGGGTTTAGAAATCGAGTTTACGTAATTACAAAAATATGGATACCCACCACAAAGAGATTTTATTGATGACCTAAAACTTTTTAAATATAACGTTTTACTTTTAGAGTTTAAATGTTGAAATCTGTCCTACAACGTTTGCAGAGCCAACTTATCAGTCATTTTATAATCCTTTGCGCATTTATGGATATTTATGGAATTGAGTCTTTGTCACAAACTATGATTTTCTAATTCCTAACCCCGTGTTCTAGACCTTAGATATTTCAAACGATGAATTCTGTTAGATCAGGAATAATCTATGTTTGAAGTATCATAGGTTTATACCATCAGGTTGCAAAGCTATTTGGATTTGAAAATTTGAGTTTGTGGCAAAAATTGTATTATTTGTAACATTTTTTACCACTTATTATTAAAGGTACTGTGATCAAAATCTCTTTGTTTGCTGAAAATGAATTAGAATATGTGAAAAGGAATTGAGTTTTTGCAACAAACTAAAATCTTCTGATCCCAATATCGTTGTAAACTGATGGTGCGAACCTTTGATATTTTATCTATAAGTATTAATAGTTTGACATATCTAAGGTCTACGACATTTGATAACACAGATATAGAGATTAGAAAATCAGAGTGTGTGGCAAAAACTCAACTCCTTTATTGAAAAGGGGAATATTTTCAATTGTGGTTTCTCTCTGAAAGTTACTTTCAGATTTATGATAGAGAAACAATGGAGGAAATTGTCTAATTTAACACTTCAACTAAATTATATTTTTTAAACCGACATAATTTAGCAAAAGGAAAGCCGGTCTTTTGGGACTTAATTGAATACAAATAATGATTGGCTTAGTCATTGTTGGATTAGAATATCAAATTTAAAAAGTATTCAAGGAAAAGAAAGATGGCGTACTGCTATTTCAATTGTAATAGCTACGGTTATTTTGTAGGGAAGTATTGATCGATCATCTTTCTGTCAAATTTCAAAAAATAAATGATTGAAAAATGCAATATTTTCTAAACATTTTATTTAATTATGTCAGCATGTATTTAATATTATAGTGCAGATTTCAATTTTTTGCAAGATGTACTTACAACTTATGCAATATGCTTTAATGTGCAATATGCATTTCAACCCGTTTTGCACTTTCTCTTTCAATTTTCTCCTATGACCCATTTATAAGTTTTGGCAGAGTTTTTATTGAGGGATATATTTTACTAGGATAATTGAGTTTTTAAATACATTTTTAGAAAGATAATTACAAAATTTTACTAAATTATTTTACTAGTATTACAGTTGCCCGACTTTCTCCGAAGAAAGCGGACCTATCTTATGCGGTCCCGGAATTAAAGTCTGGGGAAGCGCTGTGCTTAGTTGCACATCTTTTATCCTACAGGGGAGCATGGAATGTACATAGATTAAAACAAGACTTCATATTCAACCTAGTTAAGTGTAAGAAGGAGTTTAACCCCTGATGGGTATACAAGCCAGGCACAACGATACCAGTTTTTTACTCGACCAGCTGTGAGAACTGGACTGGAAGATTCCTATCAAGCGGGCTTCAAGGCTTACAACTCCCCATTTTGCATAAGGGGTGCAGTTATGGGTTTTCCTTAAAATTCATCTTAACTCAGAAAGAGTATACTAGAAGGAACACAGGGAGAAATCCCATATACCCTTCCTCCTATAAACCTCCTAATCTCTTTCCAACCTAATCCACAACTCGATGTCACAAGAACTATTTGGAGAGGTCTCAAAGCAAAGAAAAAAGAAAGAAAAAGAAAATCGAACAGGAATAGGAAAAAATGTAAGGGAATCTCTAGTGTCAAGTTGTACACTGTTATATTTTCAGAAAGCGACATAAGAGTTGTTGAATCAAGACATTCCTAGACCAGAAAACAATATTAAAAACTGCAATTACATCTGATTTCTACTCCTCACAAACAGTAACTTTCTATTATACAATTTAATTTGATATTTCTGGCCCCAAGATATCAAATTAAAGAATAGTATGAATTAGAAATATGTGTCAAAATGCATTTTTCCCTTGTCTACAAGAGATTATAATGTGTAGATCTAAAAGAGAGGAACAGAAAACAGATGTTTGGTCAGATAAAAAAAGATTCTATCCAGAGTTCAGAAAAATTTCAGATGCAAGATTATATAGAGTTCAGAAAAATGAAAGCAAGATACTCAGCAATTTCAATCAAATACAGGTCTCAAAAAAGCAAGCTCTTTTAAAAATAGTTCTTACTTGTAACACGGCAAACTACAAGGATATCCAACATAATTATTTTCTTTTTATTTTCAAAATTAGCCAAAGTATGATGGACCAACAAGAAATGAAGAACAAGAAATATAGAAATCTCAAAATATTTCCATCTGATATCATATAAATATTTAAGAATATTGTAAAATTTAAATAAAATAAGTTATTGAAGTTAAAAAATTTAATAGTATTACAGTATTCCAATATTTCCACTTGTAAAAAAAATCTTTTGGGTTCTTGAGGCTCTGGGACCCTCCCCGCCTGGGGGGGGGGGGGGTTCCCGGGACCTCGAAAACCCCTATTTTGAAACAGCACCACAATATTTACATCTAATATTTCCAAAATAATTGGTAATAGAAATAAACTGTATATATTCTTAGTCTCAGAGAATGGGTGTGTTTTAACCAAGTCTTAGAAGTTAGCTATGTTTTATTAAGATCTGAGAGGTTAAGTATGCTTTATTAAGAGCTTAAAAAGGTCTTAGAGATTGGGTATGTTTAATATGACTTTTTAGGTTGGGTATGTTTTAGCAAGGTCTTAGAGGTTAGGTATGTTTTAGCAAGGTCTTAAAGGTTAGGTAAGTTTTTTAAGGTCTTAGGGGTTAGGTATGTTTGATTAAGGTCTTAGAGTTTAGGTATGATTCAGCAGGGTCTTATAGAGGTTAAGTATGGTTTATTCAGGGTTTAAAGGGAGTGTTCGCTAAAATTAAAGGGGTTACAGGCTTACGGCGAAAGATAAGCGCTTTTGATTGCTACAAATCTTACTTCATCTTACTACATCTGTTTCGTCTATAAGGAGAAAATTGTTAAAAACGACTCATACCGAAAAAAGTAGTGTCCATACAAATTCAGAAAGTTGCAGCATTCAACTCGGATCGTAAAATAATCAATTTAATTCCAAACCAAATCATTTAAATATTACAAACAATAGTCATAGATAATTTTTCGACGCATTCGTATATAGTTGATTAGTAGCAACAAAAGCGCTTATTTTTCGCCGTAAGCCTTAGATGTACGTTGGGTATGTTTTAGCATGACTTTAGAGGTTAAGTATGTTTAGAGGTTGGGTATGTTTCAGCAGGGTCTTAGAGGTTGGGTATGTCTTAGCATGGTCTTAGAGGTTGGGTATGTTTTAGCAGGGTCTTAGAGGTTGGGTATGTCTTAGCATGGTCTTAGAGGTTGGGTATGTTTTAGCAGGCAGGGCCTTAGAGGTTGGAAATTTTTTAGAAGGTTTGGTTTGATGAATTATGATTTTAAAGTTTGGGAAGCGTTTTAAAATTGTTTCAGTGTGGGTGTAATTATAAAAGCGAGAACTTTTGTGTTGTTAATCTTCGGATTAAGCATTAATCTCCATCTTATGCAGACACCTACGGATTAATTAATTCTTGTGGTGGTCTGCAGAATTGAGGGATTAAGCATCTATTCTCAAATTTAAAATTGCTCACATTGAGGAAGCGTTCAAGATTTACGATATTCCACAAAAGATATTTGACTTGATGTTCTTTAGGATTAAATATTCAATATTGAAAACATAAATTGAAAGTAATTCAAAAAACATTTCAGGAAAAAAGAAGCGATTTTTTACCTTATTACTCTTATTGCTGCAGATAAATTGGTTGCCATTGAATATTGGATAGTTTGATTTATTCGGGTTTGTGAGTAATTAAGATAAATGCTCCTCTCCGTGCGGTTTCTAGTCAACTATCTACTATAGATTAAATACTAGGATATATAACAGTTTATATCTAGACAAAGATCATTCACCGCTTCGCCGCTAGGGGGAGAAACAAAAACATCCCCACCCAAAGAATAAACTTTTAAAAATTTGAAGAGTGAAATTTTTTTTAATTATTTTGATTTTCTTGTCTTATAAGAGAGGATGTTTAAAATAAAAGTTGGCAGTGTGTCACAATTCATTAAACTTATAAAGCTCAATTATTTAAACATTTTGTTCAGTGATAAGAACATTTTAATACAATGACTGTCGTCTTCCGGAATTCTTAAAGCTAAAGGATTTTGTTATTTTTATTTCTTATAACAGATTTATTTCCAAACAAGGCCCAACTCCGCGTAATATTCATGGGTTCCCTAAAAAAAATTTCAGCCAATTTGGTTCAGCCGTTTGGCCAGCTATAGCTTACATATAAATATATATTATACATATATACATATATATATGACCAAAGAGCTTTATCCTATAGATCACTGTAAGATGTATCTGACAGTGACGTCATTTTGTCTAAGTGTACATAACTGTACAATACCGATGAAAAATGTTGCGTTTATACGAAAATGCAAAAAAAGAGTGTACAAGTATATAAACCTGACCTACAAGCCAAGATCAATGCAAACACGACATAAACCTATTATCACTTGTCTTCTTATTCTCTTAATTCTTATCATTTCATTGTTTTTCTATCTTTTATGATATGTATTTGAGACACCCTGTTCATGATATATATTTGAGACACCCTGTTCATGATATATATTTGAGACACACTGTTCATGATATTTATTTGAAACACCCTGTTCATGATTTGTATTTGAGACACCCTCTTCATGATATGTATTTGGGACACCCTCTTCATGATTTGTATTTGAGACACCCTCTTCATGATACGTATTTGGGACACCCTCTTCATGATATGTATTTGAGACACCCTGTTCATGTTATGTATTTGAGCCACCCTGTTCATGATATGTATTTGAGAAACACTGTTAATGATATTTATTTGAAACATCTTGTTCATGATATGTATTTGAGACACCCTCTTCGTGATATTTATTAGAAACACCCTGTTCATGATATGTATTTGAGACACCCATTTCATGATATGTATTTGAGACACCCTGTTCATGATATTTACGTGAAACATACTGTTCATGTTACTTCTTATCAGGTTCAGCTGTAGATTAAAGTACGGGATTTACGGAATTATATAGATATTTGCTTAATCCGAACTTATCTAGATTTTAACTAAAAAATTCATAATGATAGTTTATCACATGTTTTACCCAGTAACAAGCTTCAAGTCTGGGAGTACACTGGGTTGACACGATGAGTCAATGAGCTTGCTAATATCAAGTCTCTGGTAGCTTAGATTTTGTCTGGACTATATAGTTCAAGGAAAATATAGAGGAAGAGTTTTATCAAGGCACAATTTAATGGGAAAAGGAATTGAGTTTTTGTTACAAACTCTGATTTTCTTATCCCTATATCTTTGCATTTCAATGTTGGAGACCTTAGATATTTCAAACTATGAATTATTTTAGATCAAATAATGATAGTTTGAAATATCTAAGGTAAACACCATTAGGTTGCAAAGATTTAGCGATTTGAAAATCAGAATTTGTGGCTAATGCTCATTTCCTTTATTTACAAAAGAAAAGGCTCTATTAAGGAAAAGATCTATAGAAATGTTTGGGTTCAAATTGGGTCGGCTCGGATCTAGAAAGGTCGGGTTACTTAGATCTGAACGGGGTCAAACCTTGGTAGGTTAAGGTCTAGGAAGCTGAGGACCTAGAGAGACTTGGATCTAGATTCTGACATGCTCAGATCTAGACAGGCTCAATTTAAGACAAGCTTGTATCTAGACAGGCTCTTATCTAGACATGCACGGTTCTGGACAGACTTGTATCTAGACATGCACGGTTCTGGACAGACTTGGATCTAGACAGGGTTGTATCTATACATGCTCGGTTATGGACAAACTTGTATCTAGACAGACTTGGATCTTGACAGGCTTGGATCTGGACAGGCTCAGATCTAGCTGAGTAGAGAGGATCTAGTTTTAACAGGAAAATGAAGCAAACCTGAAAGCTCTTTGTATTTGCAGTTGCACGTTTATTTCTTATCTCGCTTGGAACAGAAATTCAATTTATCTCTAACTACAGACTAAGGGAAATTACTTCCTTCCTTAACCATAATGATAGGGACCCAGCCAGTAAGTGACATGGGGGGGGGATCTAGGAATTTTTGGCTAATAAATTCAACTTTTCCGTCTTGCAAAAATTGAACACAAAAAAATTACATGACTCATTTTTTATATTTGAAGTGAAACTTATAACTATTTTCTGACGTGGAAATTCAAGTGAAAAACGTGTTTTATTGATAAAATAAACTTTAGTTTAATAATGACACTTTATTAGACCTTATAGGGTTAAGTATGGAAAATTTCGAATACTTCTGATATTTACCCTTTGTACGTTTCCATGCAAAAACTCTTTACTATTGATAAAATAAAGTTGATAAAAATAAGGTTATTGCATTATTCCTTGATCGCTCTGATCTCTCTCTGTAAATGGAGGGACACAGTTCCTTGAAATAAAATAAATAAAGTTAAATAGTTCATTATGCAAATATACATATACATACAGGTTAAAAACACATTGATGAATTCTCTGGCGTTATCTGGCTGTCTGGTTCAAGTCTCTGAAATCTTATACGGCCTATGATACTTCTTAAAAAGTGAAAAATAAAATGAAAAAGAGGTGAATATTTGTGTTAGGATTCTGTGTATTCTATGATTCAGTGCAAAAATAATAGTTACAATCTATACTATCGTTTTCATCAAGTTTATGTAGAAAATAAGATTTTAAATTACAATGAAACGTTAGCCTTCCCACAATTTAGTTTTTAAGCACTGGGCTTTATATTCAGTATTCAAAGCATACCAAGCATACAAAGATACATACATGTTTTAGTTCATTAAAAGCATTTAAAGGCCCACTTTTTAGTCTATTCAAAGGGTACAAAGACCCATCTTTTATTCTTTTGAAGACGTGTTTGAGTCTATTTCTAAGAACATCTTACAAAGACCCATGTTTCAGTCTATTGAAAGGGTACAAAGACCCATCTTTTAGTCTTTTAAAAGTATACGAAGACACATGTTTTAATCTATTAAAAGCCTTCAAATACCAATCTTTTAGTCTTTTAAAAGTGTACAAAGACACATGTTTTAGTCTATTAAAAGCCTTCAAAGACCAATCTTTTAGTCTTTTAAAAGTGTACAAAGACACATGTTTGAGTCTACTAAAAGCATACAACTATCCATTTTTCAGTCTAATGAAAGGGTACAAAGACCCATCTTTTAGTCTTTTAAAAGTATACAAAGACACATGTTTGAGTATACTAAAAGCATACAACTATCCATTTTTCAGTCTAATGAAAGGGTACAAAGACCCATCTTTTAGTCTTTTAAAAGTATACAAAGACACATGTTTTAGTTTATTAAAAGCTTCCAAAGACCAATCTTTTAGTCTTTTAAAAGAGTGCCAAAACCCATGTTTCAGTTCTGCATAAACTAAGAGGTCAAATATTGGTTTAGAGAGACTGTGAACGTCCAATTTACAACGGTAACCTTAAACGTTTTTCAAGTGCGAATTAGATATCCATATTTTTGTTTTTGAAAATTTGAAAATTTTTGAGTTCTCTTGAAAAGTTACTTTTGCCCATTTGTTGCTTCAGGAAAATTAAACAGAATTAAACGCTTCTAAGTTATAAAAACATATATATCTTTTACATTATCTATATATAAAAAAATAAGACATTCATATATATGTTCCCCCTGGCCGTCCAAACGGCCGGACCGAATGGGCTGAATCTTTTTGAGGACACTCATGGGTAGCCAGGGGGTGACATAAGCTAAAAAAATCGAAATTTTTTCACAAAATTTTTTTTCTCGCATTATTTTTTCCACTGGCAATGCTGGGCCCTTCAGCTAGTTTATCATAAAAAGGTTTCATGGGTATCGTCGTGGATCGCGCATGTCCCTTTTTTAATAAAAGGTCACTAGGTACAGGTCTAATCTCATGCAGTAACGTAAACACAGAGCTGGACAGTTTCTTCTAGACAATTGAGTAGACACCTGATCAAACACAGGTTTTATAATTTAGAAGTCTGATTTCAAAACTATGGAAGGGACGCCTGTACTCCGAAGAGAAAAACTAGAAATTATCTGAAACTTAGACTCGGAGCCTGATAAAAATTAGGACTTTGAACTCTAAACTCGGGGAAAATAACAGAGACCTAAATAATGAATTCGGAGCTGCATAACTAATATTATGCCTTAACAACCAATTCCTCTAGAAAAAAAGGTCTCTAGAACAATTTCAACACTAAGTACTCTTTATAAAATAAAGAACAAATGAATTTATTTGATATACAGTCGTCGTATCAATACAACAAAGACGACTAACTGGTAAAATTTCTATGTATTTTTTATACTCTGGGAATTACTCGGACATTTATTAAATAAATTATATATTACAAAAAAACTAAGCGATAATATGGAATATTACACATGTACATTATACATATTTTGAGATTAAATCACTAAAAAATGTAATTATAAACTCTCAGAATCAGTAAACATCATGGAGCTTTCCATACATTGGTAGAGAGCAGGTCTGGGCAATTTCCCGTTAACGTATTAACATGTGATGAAAGGTTCTTAGTGTTTAAATTCAGGTTAAATTTGGCAGATAATGATAATTGCTGTCACCGCCCACCGGTAACGGCAAATTTCCTAGGCTAGCAGACAGTTGCAAAAAATAGTGTACTTTTGTTTTATGTTTATTAATTACACTGTAAATTATTTGTTTTATGTTTATTAATTACACTGTAAATTATTTGTGTGTTCTTCCTAAAATGCTCTAAAATGTCACCCGACAATTTAAGAGAGCCTTCAACGACTCACAACAGTACCTTTTAACCCTTAAGCGNATTAATTACACTGTAAATTATTTGTGTGTTCTTCCTAAAATGCTCTAAAATGTCACCCGACAATTTAAGAGAGCCTTCAACGACTCACAACAGTACCTTTTAACACTTAAGCGGTTAAAGAGAACTTATCCATGTATTCTTATCTAAAACAAGTTAAAGAAACTGAGTCTTTGCACCAAACAGTGTCTATAGATAGGGACCGTCCCTTTACGCTCAAATTCTGAACGAGAAAATCGGTTTTTTCTCCGGCCACTTTGTCTTTGAAAATTAAGACTATTACCAATCAACAGCGAATAGGCTGTTTAGTTTACCCTGAAATTACCGAGATAAGTGAACGGACCCTTTAAGCTTTATAAGTCCTATGTATTTGCAACCTAATGATGTAAACCCATGATATTCAAAACTTTGATTATTTGATCTAACAGAATTTATTGTTTGAAATATCTAAGATCTACGACATTGGGGTTTAAAGATATCGGGATTAGTAAATCAGAGTTTGTGTCGAAAATTAAATTCCTTTTAGCACTTTTCTAGCTCGTCTGTTAATTTAAAAAATCAAAAATGGCACTTTAGATAGAAGGGTCGGATTAAATTTAGTTGACATTCCCTTTAAACTATAGATTTCATTGAGGAGGAACTCCTCCTGTAGCGGTCCACCGTTGTTGTAGTGTAGAAACCATTGGTTGTCGAGTAGGTTTATTTCCTAGAATCCTATCCATCTCCTCCAGCAGACAACTATTCATCTTGGATAGAAGCTGGAGGCTGGAGAGCTGGCTGGTCAACTGCTCTAGGGAGCTTGCGCTCACAACCACAACCTGGCTCGTGTTGTTCCTGAGGCTCCAGCAGACCAGGAGCTGGCTCAAGGTACATCCAAACCTCTCACTTATCTAAAGGGGGTCCTTTTAATCTTGCCAATTTTCAAATTGCTGTAACTTTGTTCTTGTTAGGAATTAATATTTGGAATTTTTACAATCTGTAAAAAAATTTGAGTAATCAACATGTACACGTTTTGTTGTATACAATGAAAATTCACAATTCTAATTAAGTTATCTTGACTTCTTCAGAAAACACCATATTGGAATATGGCTTAAATGAAATAACTGAATTTGCGCATTTTTTGGTATTAGAATTGTGAATTTTCATTGTATACAACAAAACGTTCATATTTTGATTAATCAAATTCTTTTACAGATTGTAAAAATTCCAAACAATATCAAAGTTACAGCAATTTGAAAATTGGCAAGACTAAAAGGACACCCTGTACAATAAAGAGATTTAAGGGGACTGTACACGTAATTTCATGTGATCCTGCAGTAGTTGAGTGGTGTGTTCGATTCACAATAGTACCCTTTACACCTTTATATGATCAAGGATGATGGACTTATCCTTACTTCTTAACAGAATCAATTGAATTTGTTGAAACCTTTTTCACAAGGTTTTTCATTAAAGAAATATTAATATTTAATTTAAATAAGTCGCAGAAAATACATATTTTCATTAGCATTTTTGAAAACCGCCTCGGACAAAGAATATCCGATATTTGTTTAGAACTATAATAGAAGTTAATTGCGTTTTTTTAGAGATAAACACTCGAAGTTTTCCGTCGATAATCAGTCTAAGGTTAAATATGTACCATTTGTAAATCAAACATGCCACATTCCCTTCTTTCCCTGGAGGGTCACTTGAAAAAAACACAGAAAATATTTGTAAAACAAGAGAGAAAATTATCGGAACTTTTTTTGTACATTAAATATTCTAACAAAATAATGTTGTGGACCTATAGTATGTCAAAGTATAAATTATGCTCAACCAAATAGTGAAAGGTTGAAATAAGAGTTTGTTCCTTTGTCAGTTCCTTTCCCTTGTTCAGCAAAAAGGTTTGAAAAGTTTTCTTTCCACAACATGATAGGGGGAAATATTTCCACAAACATGACATGGGGTAATATTTCCACAAACATGATTTGGGGGAAATATTTCCACAAACATGATTGGGGGAAATATTTCCACAAACATGATTCAGGGAAATATTTCCACAACATGATTGGTAATATTTCCACAACATGATTGGGGGAAATATTTCCACAAATATGATTGGGGGAAATATTTCCACAAACATGATAAAGGGAAATATTTTCACAAACATGATTGGGGGAAATATTTCCACAAACATGACAGGGGGAAAAATTTGTAAGATATTTTGATTAAGAAAATCTGAACATATCTCAAGCTATCCAAGGTTAAAAAAAATTGTTTAAAACTTACCATTTCTAATTGTTTAACCGTATGAGAAGCTACGTGAATTCCTTCATGGATCCCGTTAGCGTCTTGGCCAACCTTATACTTCCCACTCTACAGTAAAAATCATTAGAATAATAACATTTCTGGCTTTTAGAATTTTCACAAGAAAAATTATTCATAAATATATAAACATGGTTCCGATCTTGTTTCTCAGCTGTATATAATTTACATAAACAAGACTAAGATGCTAGTAATGAAATGTATAACATTTCAAATTCAGAGCGCCTCCTACCCTTCTACCCTGGGTTCATTCCAAGTATAACTTAAACAAATTTTCCTTTTCGGTTAAACCAGAGAAACAGAGGAACTTTTGGAATAATTTTACATTATAGAGGGAAGGATCATGATGGTTCTACAGTAAACCTTCTTATATCATGGTTTACATTAGTATTCCCATCCTCAAGGTTGTATGATAAGACAGGTTTACTCTCGCTGCGCTCCAATGTACGTAAAATGTCGTCTTCTAAGAGAGATTGACATCTAAAGTAACCAACCTTATTAAACAACCTTGTTAGTACAGTAGTAATCAGTTTTGGTTTTAGAAGGAATAAGTTCTTTTGACACATTTAAAAAAGCAAATTTAATACTTAAAAATGTAGCATTTTGCACTCGTTTACTAATGAAACCCTTTACTAATGAGTAATGGAGTTTTTCAATCCTGTCAGAAAATTGGTTGGTAAGTCATATATAGACCCAGTCTGCTAGGAAAAGTTGCGTCAATTTTCAAGTCTTGGTCGACCTTAAAGTGTCGCAACACCTTTGCCTTTGATTTTGCCACACTTCCTAACTTTTAATTATTAATATTACATACTTCCCCCCTTCCATGTGTAGATGTACAAACTACACCCTTTCATCAGAGAACAGAGATGTTCTCTATATTAACCTTTCATCAGAGAACAGAGATGTTCTTTATATTAACCTTTCAACAGAGAACAAGGATGTTCTTTATATTAATCTTTCATCTGAGAACAGAGATATTCTCTATATTAACCTTTCATCAGAGAAAAGAGATGTTCTTTATATTAACCTTTCATCAGAGAACAGAGATTTTCTCTATATTAATCTTTCATCAGAGAACAGAAATGTCTTTTGTATTAACCTTTCATCAGAGAAAAGAGATGTTCTTTATATTAACCTTTCATCAGAGAAAAGAGATGTTCTTTATATTAACCTTTCATCAGAGAACAGAGATGTTCTTTATATTAACCTTTCATCAGAGAACAGAGATGTTCTTTATATTAACCTTTCAACAGAGAACAAAGATGTTCTTTGTATTAACCTTTCATCAGAGAACAGAGATGTTCTTTATATTAACCTTTCAACAGAGAACAAAGATGTTCTTTATATAAACCTTTCATCTGAGAACATAACTGTGTTTCTCACATATAATGTACAATACATTTACTGTTTCTCGCATATACTGTACAATTCATTTACTGTTTCTAACATATACTGTACAATACATTTACTGTCTCCTGCATATCTTGTACAAGTGTACAACACATTTACTGTTTCTTGCATATGCTTTTCAATACATTTAATGTTTCTTGTTTCTGTACAAAAATTTACTGTTTCCTTCATATACTGAATGAGTGTACAATACATTTACTGTTTCCTTCATATACTGCATGAGTGTACAATACATTTACTGTTTCCTTCATATACTGTACAATACATTTACTGTTTCCTTCATATACTGTATGAGTGTACAATACATTTACTGTTTCCTTCATATACTGTATGAGTGTACAATACATTTACTGTTTCCTTCATATACTGTATGAGTGTACAATACATTTACTGTTTCCTTCATATACTGTATGAGTGTACATTTACTGTTTCCTTCATATACTGTATGAGTGTACAATACATTTACTGTTTCCTTCATATACTGTATGAGTGTACAATACATTTATTGTTTCTCGCATATACTGTACAATTCATTTACTGTTTCTAACATATACTGTACAATACATTTACTGTCTCCAGCATATCTTGTACAAGTGTACAACACATTTACTGTTTCTTGCATATACTTTTCAATACATTTAATGTTTCTTGTTTCTGTAAAATTTACTGTTTCCTTCATATACTGTACAATACATTTACTGTTTCCTTCAAAAACTGCATGAGTGTACAATACATTTACTGTTTCCTTCATATACTGTATGAGTGTACAATACATTTACTGTTTTCCTTTGATGAAAGTAAAAGTATGCCTTATTTAATTAGAACTCTTTTTTATCTTATAATTTTCTTTCATCTTTCCAGAAAAGAAAACTTATATAAAAAGTAGCTTTAGATAATAATAACAAGTAAGATGCAGGTACTCGTATACAAACTTGGTGTTAAAAAAGGGACAACGGCTGTCATTTTGGTTAAATTTTTATATAAACTGTCATAACTGCCGAGAATTTTGTGCGACAGACCTCTCATTGGTGTCCATACAATCAACAATGTTCTGCAGGTTTCGAAAAAGTTCAAAGAAATAAAAGTCGAGCCATGAAAAAAGCTGCAATACCCATTTTTAGTACACTCCATATATGTATAAAACATATGTATATATATAATTTTTTTTAATTAGCCAATATTTTTGGTTAGGTTAAGATAAGAAAATATCCTGGCCGAAACCGAGGCTAGAATAGGGTAGNGGGGGGGGGGGGGCACAAATTCTCTAATTGAAAATTATGAAGAAAACTTTAAATTTCTTCAAACTGACCTTAAAAGCTAGTTTTGTGACAAGCTGAGTCTGCTCCTCACTAGTACCAAGAACTAGACCTAGAGACACAGGAGACCAGGTTATCAGTCCCAACCCAACCTTGTTGTACAACTCTGCCATGTAAAGTTCAACCTAAATATAACAATGTAGTTTAGCTGTGCTGTATGAATATGAATCATTTTAGAATGTTCTCAAAGTGTATTCTCAATAGCATGTCCTGGGTAGTGTGTACGATGTGTACTCGTTGTGTCCTCAACGTGCGTCCTAAATAGTGTGTCCTGTATAGTGTGTACTTGATGTGTCCTCAACGTGCGCCCTCGATGTGTGTCCTCAATGTGAGAACTCAATATGCATCCTCGATGTGTCTTCGATGTGAGAACTCGATGTGAGATTTAGATTTGAGAATTCGATATGAGAACTCGATTTTAGAACTCGATGTGCGTCCTCGATATGCGTATTTAATGAATGTCCTGGATGTGCGTTCAGGATGTGCCTCAATGTGCGTCCTTGATGAGCGTCCTAATTTGCGACCTCGGTATACGTCCTCGATGTGTGACCTCAATGTTAGTCCATAATGTGCGTCCACGATGTGCTACCTCGATGTGCGTCCTCAATATGCATCCTATCCTTAATGTGAACCCTAAATGTGGATCCTCAATGTGCTTTGTTTCTGTGCGTTTTCTTTAGTGAATTTAAAGTCAGAGGCGTATTCATGAGGGGAGGGGGGCTATGTGACCTCCGCTCCACTGGTTCAGTGAAATCTATGGTTTTAAGTTTTTTGTTTGCTTCATTGGGTACTGAAGCCCCCCCCCCCCCGAAAAAATTCCTGAATACGGAAAATATTTCTATATATTTATCCAAAAAGATGGATAAAAGTTAATTCGTAAATCCCCCGGTACTTACGTGTTTTGGCACATTTTGCAACGGATATACAATATTCTGTAGTAGTTTTGTCACTTGTTAGTTTATGAAAAGTTCTAAGACAGTATTGTAATTTTGTAAAGAAAAGTAAGAATGATTCCAGGAAATGCAGAACAGGAAATGCGAAAACAATCAAAACTTAATTTCGGAAGGAAAAGTGCTTCTTAACACGATAGATTGTGCTCAGCTATATTTATAATTATTTGTAAGGGAAAAAATTATTTTCGAAGCATTTTTGATTCTATAATTCCGCTTTAATAGGATCATTCATTCCGCGGTACTGTCACGTTTTGCCTGATACAGATTGTATTTGTACGTTAAGTAAAAAGATCTAATATACTTAATACCAAGCGTAACAACAATAATAAAGGCAGCCGATCTAATGTAAACAAACATGAGTTAGTATACGGTGAATCTTCATCTAACGCCAGAGATGCATCAGATGTCTGTTTATCATTTGTGTTATTGTTTACAATCTTTATTATTGTTGTTACGCAATTACAAGTTCTTCAGCAGTCCAAAAACGTCACAGCAAAGTGTACGGGAACCCAATCGCCCCCTCCTTCTATTCAATTCTCCTTGGAAGTATCCATATACGTGTTTTATTACATGTCTGACTTTTCATGTACTCCACACGCCTGAACCAAACCCAACACAGTTGGACCCTGCAGAGACCGAAACTTGAGACATTTAAAAATGCGTCAACATAATACAAGTTTACCTTTTCTCTGTGGAAGGGATGATATTCTGCGTATTCACAAAGCGGAGTTACGCAGTTCATAGCTCGGGCAATAGAGAAGGATTCAAATATCTCAACAGGACTCCATTTTGCTGTGCCCCAGTACAAAATCTAAACAAAGAGAAGAGTTTGTTGAAAAGTTTAATTCAGTTCTGCAAATTTAAAGAGATTAGTTATATTATAAACTAAAAATCAATATTGTATCAAACTTAGCATTATATATTTATACAAAAACTTTTTTTCGTAAGTTTATATTTCAATTGTAAAAACAGAATTTTACAAATAAAAATCTGTTGATCATACCCCCCTTTCTTTACTTGCCCTGTATCTGTTTCTCTAATTACAAATTATTAATTCTAAAATCAGATAATTATAAATTAATTAAACTTATTCAAGTAATAATTAGAATCAGGCTAATTAGTCGGTATGGAGTTGTATTGCACAATGTAGAGGGAAAACTGAGTACAGAGCCAGAAATTTAAGAGAGTGGTATCGTCATGAAACCAGGCGTCGGAAATTTTAAAGATATCAATTTTTTTCAAAATATTATTTAATATGATTGTTTCATCTTTTTTTCATTCATTAACCCTCAAAAAGGAAACTCGGGAGGTTTGTTCATCAAAGGAATAATATAATTCTTGCACTCATCGATACTCTCTTAAAGGAATTTAGTGTTTGACACAAACTCAAATTTTCTTATCCCTATATCTGTACAACCTAATGATGTAAACCTTTGATATTTCAAACTTAGATTATTTGATCTAACAGATTTCATAGTTTGAAATGTCCAAGGTCTACGACAAAGGGTTGCAAAGATATATGAAATATGAAATCATAGTTTGTGGCAAAAACTCAATTCCTTTCCGGCTATGTTCTAAACTGTACTGCACTGCAGTGCAATGTACAATGTGCAAAAAATTTGTGTGTGTCCAACTGTAATCATTATAAACTGCGAACCAAATAGAGTAAAAAGTACAATAGGTGACAAGGCCATTTTGAAGAATTTACGCCTGACGTCACTGGTGTCAAATGTGACACAGTTCCAACCCGTCTTTGCATATAAAACAGTAAAAGAAAAGAGAGAGAAAACACACATAAAACTGCACCAATTTTTTCTTAGCCTATTCTTATAAATAAATATTTTGTCTCTCCCTGAAAATAAAAATGCCATGTAAAATGACGTAAAATGCAGCTTTATACTATTCTCTATTGCAACTTATTGTATTCACTAATCTATTTCCTGCGCACAAAGGAATTGAATGGAATTTCAAACAAAATGATTTTTTTTCGGATTAAAGGGACTGTACCGTAATTTCAACAGCTTTGTATGATCAAATATGAATAAGTATCAATGTTTATTATTTTGAATACTGATTATTTTCAATTGTGTTTCTCTATAAAGTGACTTGGACATTTCTACTACAGAAAAACATATAGGAATTATCAAAATTAAACACATTTAAGCCTAGAAAAACGACAATATTTTTCACATTATTGATCAGATAAAGGCTTCAAGGATACTGTTGTCATCTTTGACTGAAGAGTCACCTGATAACTACGCACACAGTCCCTTTAAATCAATTACAACTTATTTTTTAATGGATAAAATAAAACCTACCTTGCCTGTTGTGATCAGAAAGTTAATCGCTTTTACCACCTCTACACAAAATAACGATTATTTAAGAACCGAAATTGGAAATAATCAATTTTCAAAAAGAACACCACAGGGTTCATATTTGCTCAGACACTCACTTGAAATTGCGTCTCTAGTTCCTTTAAAAATAAGTAAAGGAATGAAGAGGAATTTGCAACTTTTGAAAAGAAACCGCTGTAAAGTAAAAAACTTAAATGCACCGTCTGGGAAATTTTCTTAAACCAACTAATTCTGTTTTTTTTATGCTGAACGGGGTTTTTAATTTCGTCTCTTTAAAGGGATAGATGAAAAAATTTCAATAAACCCCCTAGATAAAGAGTTACATGCACAGCGGTACCCTTTCAACATAAGTTTTAGCAAAAATTGTCTCTTCTTAAGATAAGAAACGACGATAACCATTGTTACTTAAATACAGGTTTAAAGGGAGTGACCGGCAATGTATAGTAGTTGAACTGAGAATGTAGTATTGTGGAGAATATTTTAGGATTCATTTGAGACATATAAAACGCTTTAATGATGTACAATTACTCAGTTTGAGCGCAAATTCGACATTCAAAATCGTCCATTTGGGTGGTTACGTTTTGAGAATCGATTATTTTAAAACTATTAAATAACGACGACAAAAAAATGTATATAAATTCTACAGTAACCTATTTAGTTGTTTAGGAACAGGTTGAGAAAATAAAAATTAACTCGTATCATCTAAAATAAGTATTTTATTGGTTTCTGGAATGTCTCATTGTTTACAGACATTTTTGTAGATTTTCTGGAATTTTTATTGAAAAGACGACATTTTAAGAATTTTTAGAAATCTGCGAACAAATTCGTAAAGAATAAGAAATTTAATATAATGCTGAAAAAAGATATAATCAATTTTAACATTGATTTATTGAGAATTTCAATTGAGAAATATATTCCTAAACATCTAATTAGTCTACCGTAGAATTTTTGATACATTTTTTGTCGTTGTTGTTTTATAAATTTTAAAAAATCGATTCTCAAAACGTAACCACTCAAATGGATGCGTCGACTTTGCGCTCAAACTCAGTAATTATACATCATTAAAACATTTTATAAGTCTCAATTGAATCCTAGAAAATTTCTCCACAACACTACATTTTCAGTTCCACTACAGTTAAACCTTAAATACATCGAAAGAATTTATCAAATGTCGTCTTAAAAATTTTTCAATGGGTTTTATACTATTTTACGTAAATCTCAGTATTTGCGAAAATAACTACAAAATAGCCATGAATATGCGGAAACAGTTTTAAAGAGCTCCATATAATCATTTAATTAAAAATAACTAAATATCTGCAACATTCCATTATCAGAAAGTGAAGAATACGACATTTGATGAATTCTTTCGATGTATGGCTTATTTAGCCGGTCACTCACTTTAAAGGGCGCTTTAGTGAATCGGGCAGGGAACTCTTTAAATTTCGATTCTAAGATAAAATAATTAGAACCCTACTTAAACAATTCCTTTCCAGTCGTTACATTTTTAAAGCGTATAAACGTCTTTATACGCTTAATTATGTTTTCATTTTTACGCATCCTCGAAGATGTGACGCGTTTTAAGTTTTAACATATTTTCACATATAAAAATATATTTAAGAAAATGAATACCTTCTAGTGGACAATGTGAATCATTTTTATGTATAATGACGAGATCAATATAATCTAGTTGAAGGTTTTCTAAAGAATCCTTCACAGATTCTAATATTTCCTTCCGAGATAAAGCTCTGTCTTCTGTCCTGTAAATGGGGGAAATAAGTTGAAAGGAAAAATAAAAAAATGTTTAAAGAAACTTGTAAGATTGTATTGTTTATGATCGGGAACATTCTACAGAGCGTCCCATATCATATTAGATTATCTCCAATCTTTAACGCCAAAATACGCACACAATACTCTAAAAATCTAGCATTATCTGCAAAACAAATTTTCTATTAACCTTATTAAATTTTTCTAAATGATTCATTCTTCTTAAATTTTCTGATTTGTCCCTCAAATCGTAATTTAGACCCATTGACGCGGTCTAATTTGATGTGGAACACCCTGTATATCGGGTGGGTTAAAAATAATTATGAAATACCTAAAATATGATTAAAGGACACGAAAGTGGACATTTTGAATGGAGTGGATTATAAAAACAAAGCTTTGTTAACAATTTGGAGGCTAACTTTAATCCATCAACCTTTTATGATCGATCCTTTAAAAATATGTTTTCAAAATGCATACTTTTAATGCATTTGCTTTATATTAGCACATCTCAATATTTGGCAAAAACCGGTTTTCAGTTGCTAAGATTTTCTGTAAACCATGCTGCACTCCTTGTACTGTATAAACATGGGAATTAAGTGACAAATTTTAAGAATTATCGCGCTGTATTACCTAATTTCAATGATCATAACAAAGTAACGTATGCTAAAGTATATTTTATGCAAACGTTAAAAAGCTGTTTCGTTCCTGTGCAAACCGTTGTAAGATATTTATGTTACAAATCTGAAAGATAAACAGTATTAAATCCATATGAAATCAAAAATCCTTAACAAAGACAATATAAAAAATTCCCTCAATTCCCATGTTTATCGGGACACCCTGTAGAACAAATAGTTGTTAGAAGATTGAGTCTATTGTGTGAATGGGTAAAGATTAAAACTTACTTATCCCAATATATCTTGGTCGCCACAGTAAACTGTCTCCGAGACCATCCTTTCTTCTTGATAATCCGTCCCAGCTCAATCTAAACATCCATATAGAATCCGTCTTAGCTCAATCTAAACATCCATATAGAATCCGTCCTAACCCAATCTAAACATTATCCATATAGAATCCATCCCAGCTCAATCTAAAAATCATTAGAATCCGTCCTACTTTAATATAAACATCGAAATAGAATCTGTCCCAGCTCAATCTAAACATCCAAATATAATCCGTCCCAGCTCAATCTAAACATCCATACAGAATCCGTCCCANAACATCATCCATATAGAATCGGTCCTAGCTCAATCATTCAAACGTTTTTTCTAAAAAAAAGATATCTCTTATAGAGTTTTTCCATACAAAATTAGAATAGTTAGTTTGTACAAGACACCTGAAATAAACTTATAACAATATAACACAAATTTAATGAAAACTGACAGCTTAGAAAACTTGCTTCAAGATTTTAATTAGCTTTCACAACTTTTACCAAAGGAACTGAACACTATAAATCATTGCAACCTGATGATATAAACCTTTGATATTTCAAACTGTGACTTTTGGGTTTAGCCGAATTTATAGCTTGAGTTATATAAGGTCCACAACATCAGGTTACAAAGGTATAAAGATTATTGAATCAGATAACAAGGGAAGTATTCAGTTCCTTTCCTAACCTTGAATAATTTACCTCTGCTTTCTGACTCGTGAAGGGTTCACTGATATCAAAGAAATTTATTCCGTTCTCGAAAGCAAGTGTTACAATCTCTTCGTTTAGTTCAGAGTCGTCATTGGAGAAGGATTTGAGGCTTCCTAGTGCTATACTGGACACCTGGATAAGGTTCAAGTTTATAAATAGAGATCCTAGTGCTATACTGGACACCTGGATAAGGTTAAAGTTAATAAATAGAGTTCCTAGTGCTATACTGGACACCCGGATATAGTTCAATTTAATTAATAGAGATCCTAGTGCTATACTGGACACCTGGATAAGGTTCAAGTTAATGAATAGAGATCCTAGTGCTATACTGGACACCTGGATAAGGTTCAAGTTAATAAATAGAGATCCTATTGCTATACTGGACACCTGGATAAGGTTAAATTTAATTAATAGAGATCCTAGTGCTATACTGGACATCTGGATAAGGTTAAATTTAATTAATAGAGATCCTAGTGCTATACTGGACACCTGGATAAGGTTAAATTTAATTAATAGAGATCCTAGTGCTGTATTGGACACCTGGATAAGGTTCAATTTAATTAATAGAGATCCTAGTGCTACACTGGACACCTGGATAAGGTTCAAGTTAATGAATAGAGTTCCTAGTGTTATACTGGACACCCGGATAAGGTTCAATTTTATTAATAGAGATCCTAGTGCTATACTGAACACCTGGATAAGGTTCAAGTTAATGAATAGAGATCCTAGTGCTATACTGGACACCCGGATAAGGTTCAAGTTAATGAATAGAGAGACCAAGAAAGACTTTTGAGACCTTTTTCTTCCCTGTTTTTCTAAACTTACGAGGGTTATCAGAAAAACGTCTAAAATTGATTTTCAAATATAATTTTTAAATCTGGTTTGTGTTGTTGATTCTATAAATTTATATTGCGCAGCAGTTTTAATATAAACAAGTTTGAATATCAGGTTTTTGGCCCCTTTATGAGGAACAAAGAATGTGGTTGAACGAGGTTTTTATTTAGAAAGTAGTAGATTTTATCTAAATCCAAGTAAAATCTTTTTTAACTAGGGAACAGCCTATAGGGCACTGTCAAGCTATTCAAATAATTTGAGTAACATTTTTTAAACAAAAAAAGTGTTTAAGATCGAATGAATGTTGATGAATGAATATAAATAAAATGATTGGTTAGATATTTGGATAGGTTATGATGACACCTCTCTCAGGGTTTACAATAGCTTAAGTTATAAAGCAAAAATGAGAAAAACCCGTTTTGGTATTTCGCCAGATTTTCAGTGTCTGTCATATTTACTTTTCTTAAAAATATTGTCAAATCCTTTTTAGTTAGGTTACTGTATGTATAATATTTTATATCTGTAGAATATAACATTTTATTAAATTTAACGTTTTTTAAAGGAACTGAGTTTTTGCCACAAACCCAAATTTTCTGATCGCTTTAACAACTGCAACCGGATGGTGTAAACCTTTGATATTTCAAACTTGGATTATTTGATCTTTAACATAATTCATAGTTTGAAATATCTAAGGTCTACGACATTGGGATGAAAATAAATAGGGATTAGAAAATCAGAATTTGTGGCAAAGACTCAATTCCTTTTCAGTTTCGAACACTGAAACCTGAATTTGATATTTTGGCATGGTAGACGACAAAAAAATACGAGTTAGATTATTTCAGAGTCTGTACTTTTACAACTTGCGTAATATATAAATTGCAATTTTAAAACAGGTTTTTTTGCAAAGACCAATTAAACTGATTAAATGTTCCGTACTAGTTTGAGAGGACTGTACCATTAAACCTTTATATGAACAAAACTAATGGAAATTTACAATTTTGTGAATTTTATACGCAGAAACAAAAAACAAAAAAAATCCGCACTTTTCAATTTGAAAAAAGACGATATCTTCCCTAGATAATATTAAAAAGTATCGTTGTGCATCAGGCATGCCATACTTTTAAATGTAGATTCACTTAAAATTACGTCTACAGTTTATTTAAGGAGTGCTATACGAGAAATGTATTTCAGCCAAACAAGTTTGAGAGTTTACTTCATAAACCGTTAAACCAAAAACGTTAAAGCACACAATTGTACTTGTATTACTTCCATGAAAACAAAAACGTTAAAAGAACACACAATTAATTGTGCTTGTATTACTTCCATGAAAACAAAAACGTTAAAACACACAATTGTACTTGTACTACTTCCATGAAAACAAAAACGTTAAAGCACACAATTGTACTTGTACTACTTCCATGAAAACAAAAACGTTAAAAGAACACACAATTGTACGTGTATCTACATAAGCACGGACATGGGCTAGTTTATTTCGGTTTTTGTTTTGGTTTTTGTTTTGGCACCAAAAAAGATAGAGTATATATCCACACCTTTCTTTCCAATGCGCAAATGAAGACAAACATGTTTGTTTGTTGTTTATTTTATGGGTAAAACTCTGCTTGATTTACGTGTCAAAATGTAAATATGCCTAGGTAGTAGGTAGTAGTGACAAAAAGACGCCCTTGTAACTGAACATTGTGCCTGAGGCAGTTAATGTTAAGGCCCAGTTTTTATTCTCATGTGTGGGGCATGTGTTAGCATGAACAGTCTAAAAAAACTATTAATGCTTTTTTAGTTATATTAAAAAACGCCTCAGCTCAGTAAGAATCATAGATAAAGATAGATTGCGCATAAGACGACATTTTTCATCTTGAAAGATATAAATGTACAGAGATGTTTTAAAGATATTCCTTTTATATAGATTAACTAGGTCGGTTGTGAACATTGGCTGTTCTAATGTCATTGAGTACTTGTGGTGTACATGAGTTCTGTAAAAAGAAATTTAAGTTAGATTAGCCCTTCTCATGTCCTTCTTCAGTTCTCGTCAATATGATATATTGCTCAGTGAAATAATTTGATATTCTCAAAATAAAATTCACTCCTGAGTGGTTTAATAATTATGAAATCCATTAAAACACCAAACCACCCCGCTTATCATTGAGTACACTTTGACCCCTAGAAGTATGAGTTCGCGGACTATACAATTCTTGGTGATTTTGGGTACATAAGCTATCTATGTTTATTTATTTATCTATGGTAAGAATAGGGATGGTTTGGATTTCTCCTACTCTCCTATACAATACACATGATACATCCTGCCGACCAAGGTTGACCTTTAAGCATTACAGGTTTTTCAATATTTAGTTTTTGATATTTTGCTCTGTGTTTGAAATGAGCTTTAAATAAATATATTAAATTTAATAATTTCAATGCTGAATCTGGCAGATTGAATGGATTCAAAGAATTTTTTTCATCAATCAGAAAACGTTATTTGTTCGAATACAAAATTAGCTATGAACTAAATTTTAAAACTGTTGTTTGTTGGTTACTAAAACATTTAAATAACACATTTTTGCGCAATAACCGCTTGATTTCTTTAAATCCTAGTTTTTTCACTTTTTAAAAACCTAATTTTGTTTTTATCTATAGGCACACATTTTAAACCAATAAAATACAAGCTCGTCACTAATATAGACAATACAATTAGTTTAAATATATTAAAGGGTCTGAACATTTACAGGGCTAGTGTCATGTCGGATCCCAACAGAACCCTTTAAGCCTTATCCTCATAGAGTAATAAAACGAAGAGGTGAAGCTTAGCTCAGATGTACACAACCGACCTCCCTATTAATTAATTAATTAATAGATTGGTCGGTTGTCTACATCACGATATGTTCACGTATCTAACACTGAACACTTGTTTATAAAGTGATCGTATTTCTAAGGGGGATTTTATGAAATTGACCAATTTTTAGATTTTCTTTCTTTATTTAAATCTATATTAAGTGTCTATCTCATTATCAATACTAATATTCAAATATCTACATAAAACCACCCCTTAGAAATACAATCACTCTATATACAAGTGTACAGTGTTAGATACGTAAACATATCGTGATGTATACAACCGACCACTCTATTAATTAATTAATTAATAGGGAGGTCGGTTGTGTACATCTGAGCTAAGCTTCACCTCTTCGTTTTATTACTCTATATTTATCCTGATCAAGGATGACGAAGTTATCCTTGATCTATCCGCAGATATTCTCTTTTTTAGTTCATACTTTTCTCTTTTATCTGTCAGTGGAGTTTAAACTTTACAATTTAGTATATAAAATTTTTAACGAGAAAAACACGGATTTTTTCGTCGGCATTGATCTGACAAAGATTTAGGGGTAATTGCTCTGTATCGGACGCGTCACTATAAAATGAATGATCACTTGTATTTTCGTTTACATTATACATTTATAGACGAATAGAGTGGTTCACGTAAAGTAACTTATAAAAGGGAGAAAAAGAAAAAGTCAGCTGAGATGAATAAATAAAGAAAATCAGCTTATGACTGGTTAAAAGAAAAATTAAGAGAGGGTAAGAAGAGTAAGTATAGAGAGAAGGTGCAGAGTAAAGGTAAAGAGAAAATGGGAGGAGAGAATAAATAGAGAAAAGGTAGGGAGAGACGGTACGTAAGGAGAGAAGGAAAGGAGCGATAGTAAGGAGAGAAGGTAAGGAGAGAAGGTAAGGAGAGATGGTAAGGAGAGAAGG